CCAAAACACCAGTCTGCATTTCAATTTTTAATGTACAATGTACTGTCAGGATATTCAGACAAAGTCTTTTAAAGAAACATACTAAGAAAAAAAAAATATTAACTAAAAAGTGACAGTCAGTTCTAAGTCAAAATGACTCAATGATAAAAGGAAAAAAAATACTTTGGAAGGGGATTAAAAACTTAGGTACCTAAGTCCCAAAGTCTTTTTGTTGTCTTTTTAAGTCACTTAAAATTTTTTACAGTCTATGAACAGTACGTTGTCTGCTTTGGATTAAGTCAACATTTACTATTCAGGTAAAAAGAATGAAATTGCAGCGACTGCTGCAGTATGTTTTTTTATTATTTAAAAAAACAAACCCAAAAAACACTACTTTAAGATGAAAATACAAATCCTACATTATTGATTAGATCTCTAATTCCTGAAAGCATTAAGACTACAAGTTGCCAAGTTCTCTCTTTTGCTGAGAAACTGCAAAAACATCCATAAGTAATCTTGATTGGGTAGTAACGCTACTCGCTCTGTCAGGCAAACTTATCCAGCCAAAGGCTCTCTGTAAACTAAAGGGAGATACAAGATTTCTTTTGGAAGGACTTAAACTCCCACTAGCTATGCATGTATGTTAAATGTAGCTCATCCATATCAAAACATAAGACAGATATGAGAATACATGGCCCTTCTCCATTCCTTTCTCCCATTCCCATTTCTCCTGTCTATGCATTTTCATCCCCTTCATGTGTCAGCCTTAGTGCTTACCAAAATTTCAATCTCTTAATTCAAGACAGCCTAAAACCACCCACCATTCTGGTCAGGACAGTCATTAACCCAGCTGAAGACTACGCCAATGTTGCAACAGGGGCTGCTGAGTAGTAGAAGCGATGCAATTGAAGTGACAGAAGCACACACCAGAAAAGCAAAACCATTTTCAGTGCAAATAACTTGTCAAGTTATACACTCATTTAGTGATGTTTTCTCTCTTCTCCAATCTAAGCTCATGGAGAAACTGAGCTACAAAGCAATACTATTCCTGTCATTAGTAATCATCTTAAAGGTTTCCTTGCTCCTTTTCAAAGGACCTTCTAATCTTTCAGGTTTTATTGTTAAAAGCCACAGTACTCCATTCAAAAATGCTTTATGTAAAATACTTGTAGTCTATTTATCCTTGCTGAACAACCACAAACATTTCTATGCTCCTTGGTGTATAAGCAGAAGGAAGTTTGCTAGCAACAGGAGAGTTCACATCAGCTGCTAAATGGTGCTTTATGTCAGTAAATTGATATATAGGATAGTAGCAGTAATCCTTTAAAATGGTTAAAATTTCAGAAATCAGAGAAAGAATTGTTCCGGGAATGCGTTCACTGCCTAGGCAGACTACGAAAACCTTGCAAGTTAAAGAGTTCAACAAAGCATTCAACACAATATTTTCAAAATTGTCTTCGACGGTTACAGCAATATAACATGCAACAGCTTCATATGATTCAATCTGTTAGCAATGTACTCAGTGATGAGAACAAAACAGCAGAAAGCTGCTTTGCTCCCTGAGAAGATTTGAGAGCCAGTACCATTCTGTCACAGTATAATACCTGAAACATCTGTCGTCTCATGAGATTTTAACAGCTTAAGGGAAGTACATTCTGGTTTTGCACCCTTCGCACAGACGTGAGGTTTTGGCTGTCATCAGAACAACTCTCCACCCTCCCACTCCTCCAAGTACAACCACTTCTTCAAACATGCTGACAAAAAAGGAACAGGCTAAATTAGTTCTGGGCCAAAACAGAGCAAGCTAAACCTTTTACTTAAATATTTCATGAAAATTAAGCACTTCTGTGCCTTCTTCAACACATCAGATCTACCAGAATGTAATCATTTCCATCCTTTAAGCAGCGCGCACCACAGTGTGGACAGTATCTATTAAAACAGCCTAGGTAAATAATGAAGCAGTAAGAGGTTGTGCACGTCCAAGTGTCAAGGCTACTCAAGTTCTTCCAGAAGGAGATGTATACTAGAACAGTCTGCCTCAGGTTCCCTTTGCTACTGAAACTCTTGTAAGAATTTGAGAGCATGCTAATGGAATGAACTGGTATTTTAAAACTTCTTTTTCAGAAATGCATTCGTTTTATACCGCTGGGATGCTCACTAAACAAAAGACAAGTAAAGACTAACTCCTACATCTAAAGAGTATTTTCAAAATATTGACGAGAAGGTATCAGACAGGACGAACTCATTTTTCTTTTTAAAAGCTACCAGCTGCACTTCTGTGCTGCGTCACTCGGGGCCTAAAGTACGCTTACAAGAAGTGTCCCAGGAAACATGGCTTCCTACACAACGTGTAATATCTAAGCTTAACACAGAGTAAATTAAGCAAAGGAAACAAGCTCTTTTAAATGTTTTTATTACAGAAAAACAGAAGGCTTACACTTGACTTAAAAAAGCAGCATTATTTTGTGAATTCAAAGTTATTACAGTGAAGTTGCTTTAAGAAAACTTTAGACTGAAGAAAAAAATAAAATGCCAGATCCCCCCCCCTCAGACAGCATTCTAGATTACTTGCACGACCACAGCAAAACCCTTAATTTCAACATCACTTCTGACACCCAGTATATGACTTGTATGCTTTTCTTCTCCCCGTGTCTTGTTGAATATAGCTGGGAGAAGGATTTGTTGAAAATGGCAGTACATTTCAAGTTTAATTTTCAACAGTTTAGTACACATCTGAGTGGTATTACAGTTCAGAAGTGACCGAGACATGCGCTTTCCTCCTAACTCTAGCAGTTAAGTGTTACAGTTTTAAGAAACAGATCCCAGTGCGATCTGTTTCTTACACAGTATTTATCACATTCAGGTCCATATCTCAGAAGATTTCTCAGCAAGATATTTGGCTACTACTGATTATACACACAAACAAAAATAACCACAAAAATGAAGGCTCATACTTGAAACAGTTCTTAGCAGTGCAGCAGAATTCAGAATTATGTTTTTATTATACACCATAGAAGGAACAGCAGTGTTCCAGTGACCACTTTATTTTTTTATTAACTAAAAAGCTGCAGGTTTCCAGCCTGAACCAAAATTAAATACGTAACTGATCTGTATTTGAAGTCTTAAGAGACAAATCAAGAAAACATATTACTGCCTTAATAGTCCTACATCTTTTACTATCAGCACTGAGTTGTGTTAAAATCCAAAGAAAGGAGGAAATGCAATGCCTAAAAATTCATTAGAAGTGATTTTTTTTTTTTTTTTTAAAAACAACTCAAGAGCTCTACACCATGTTAAAAAATTCACTTTCTAAACACATTTTTAAGCATCTCACTCAAATATATGGTAAAACTACACCTCAAAGATTCTGTCAAAAAAATAAAATCAAAAAGCAAGAAAACTCAAGTCACTATGTACAACTAGCTATAATGACAAAAAATGAAAAAGAGGGGAAAACAAAAAGGGAAAAAAAACCCAGACACCTGCTCCTCTGTATTCTATGAACTCTTTTTTTTTTCCTCTCCTCCCAAAAGGAAAAAGGTTGGACTCAAAATCAGACATGGAATTTTTCTGAAAAAAAATTCCTAATCTACTTAAATATTGTTTATACTGTTTGATAACAAAAATCTTTGAAGTCAGGCATCTACTTACTGTACTCTGCACTGCAACACGAAGCCAGCTGTTACCAAGCTACTTAAACAGAACAAACAAGTTTCTTTCCTACAAGGAAAAAGGATGCAATACATTTTCCCTGGTTATGATTTATATCATCATCAGGTTTACTCAAACACAGAACTTGTCTATTTAAGCTTACCCATGTTTTTTATTTAAAATTCCTTAATTTAGTGCTATAGCATAGTAATTTCTTATGTGATCAAGCTGCCTTATAAGGAGGACATTATAATCTGTATCATACAGTAATATAGCCTGAAAAAACCCAAGAAACAAGCAAACAAAAAAAAACCAACAAGAAGAAAAAAAGCCAGCATGAATACTAAGAAGAAGAACAATGTAAGTTTTTTTTATGTGGTACTTTCCATGACATCAACGCCAAAGGCTGCTTTATAGCTTATCCTTGGAAATTTTAACCCTGGACACAAATTAGTCCTTTTCACAGTCACGGGGTTGTATTAAAAGTGACTTTTATGATTAAACAGGTAACAAAAATGCATTATATTGACCAATCTCTACGAATGTTATTATTATGCTCTATTAATTCCCTCCTTCAGAGTAGGTAACAGTCTCAAACAAAAGTATCAACACCAACTACCTCAAAGATACATAACAATCTGAATTAAACACTAAAACACATTCACACCATTCAAAAAGCTTGTCATTAGAGAGGTATCCAAAGCAGTCAGAGGGTGTTTATATTTATGTCTTTCTTTATCAAGTTGTACTGTGGATTCAGAAAACTTAAAGATCATTTGAACTATAAGTTTGTGTAAGCACTCATACAAAACAATTTAACAGGCAATCATGTTCTAAAAGGTTTATAATGTAGTTTTCCAATATTTTTAGCTGCTAAAACACTAACAAAGACTTAATTTAGCATATAACTCCCACATCCTATAGCAAGTAAACATTCTTGACTGCCAATAATTATATTATTACATGGTAAAACACTCCTCCAATTCCTAACAATTTACATTTAACTTGAGAAAATAGAAAAGTTTGGGGTTTTTTTTCCAAAATAATGTGCAACAGGTAGAACACGTGACTTCTTGGAAAACTCTAAGTTGTCTTTAGCTATCAGGCTCTGAAAGACTTTACAGATCTCTTAATCTTTCTCAGTTTTCAGCCTTAATTTTATATGAAAGAGTGTTTAGCTGGGCTATATTAGTAGTAGTTCATCACATACACTAAGGTCAAATAATGTTATCTTTATCTCACTGTTCTGGAAATGAACAATTCAAAACTCTTAAAAAAGGTGTAGAATTGTACCTGCAAATTTCTTCTGTTTAAATTGCTCTTTGCGAATCTAGTAAAGAAAATTAAGAGAACATCCTTTTTTTTTTTCCTGTCAATTTCTGAGAAAATTTGAATACATGCAAGTCAAAACTACCGTAATGCAGACAAAAAGGTCCTCTTTCATGAAGATCATCAGTAAATGACTACCTTCAATAAATAAGTCTATTTGGAAATTCTAGAGAATTCTTTTGCTAAACAAGTTAGTCTTTTTTCTTTTCCATTGCATCTTTCTGTTTAAGCTCTCCATCTGAAAGTTCTGTATATTTTCCGTTCTTTTCCTCCTCTTGTTCTTCCTCACTGCCTTCGTCCGTGAGCTCCCGATCACTGTTTTCCTTTTTAGCTGCCTCATGTTCATCTACCCCTCCATCTGTATCAGCTGTGCAGATTCCGTAACACATAATGCTGATGACCCCAAGGGGCAACCCAAAGAGAAAGCATCCCAGAAGTGGTGAACTCTTGAACACAGACTGTTGAAACACAAATTTGAAGTAAAAAACACCTTCAGTGAATATACAAAATTACTGCGTTACTTCTCTGTATTTACAGAGTCAGTTGGGTTTTTTTTGTTTTTGTTTGGTTTTTTTTTTTCTTTTGCTCCATAAAGGAGGAGTCCTCATTTTTTTTTTAATGAGCTTATAGTAGGAATTGTTAAGACTTCAAAGTTCAAATATTACAATGTTGCATTGGGACAGTTAATATTAACATGCCAACCGTATATCCTATTCACTGTTTGAAGCTTGAGAAACTATTGTTCTAACAGCATTAAAATAACACTTTGAAGCAACCAGTTTCATCTCTTATTTATGCCTCATTCTCGAAAATTAGTTTGAGTAATAAGGGATCTGCAGAAACATTCTGTTATTAGACAGCTTCCTATTGAAGAGTAGTTTAATGGCAGGACTTTTGGTTTCAGAAACTGATGGCTAAATGTTGCACATTCACAGAAGTTTGGAAGCCACTCATTCAGAAACGTGTGAGTTTCAATTTAAATTCACAGCACAGGTTTTTTTGCTTGTGTAGGAGAAGTGAAGAAATGGATTTGTGTACATCTTCCCAACAAAATTCTGTTAAGCATAATTCACTTATAAGAAAGATGATAAAAATATTTGCTCTAAAACTACACCAAGTGTAGTATTTAATCCCCTTATGCTCTAACCAATTAGACTGAAACCATAACATTTCTCAGAACATGAAAGTGTTATCAATTTCAGTCAAAGGATGTCAAAAGGGTCAAGGAAAAGATTTTGAATTCTCCCTGTTCTATCCCTTAAAATACGTCAGACTAATACAGAAAAGGAGTGAAAAATGAAGAAACTAATCTATGTTGAATATTTAGCACATGGGAAAATATTATTAAAAACTTTAATCAAGAAGTTCATTTGGCTTAAACCTAATGTATATATACCTATAATATATACACAAGATATATAATATAAACAAACATATATAAAAATATTTCTAAACCCTCTGAAAACATTTGCATCTTGATTGACGAGGGCACCATCTAATTTAACGAAAAATAAAAGACTTACCACTACAGTAGACTTGGCATCATAGATTATTCTCTTGATTCGTTGCAGAAGTCCATCACCACCCTGTGCCTGAAATTTCAAATGGAACCATGTCAAAACTGCTGACACTTTTCAGTTATGATTCCAAAAGTTCATTCTTCAGACCTTGCAATCTTAAGTCCCTTTAGAAGGAAATGAAAAGTAATTATTCGTGCATCTCATGATGCCCAGACACTCCAACTTCTCAAGAATGGATAAACATTTCAAGTCTCATGAAAAATTCTCTCACAATTGTTTTAAACAATCAGTGCAAGCTTTAATAGTGGATTGGCACTCCACTCTCTTACCATAGAGGAACACTAACAGAAGCTACCAACTGTCCCGATGTAACAATTATAAAAGTGCAGAGATCTTCTGAACTTTCCTGCAGCTGATGGATATCTATTTATTGATTATGACAGAAGCAGTTAGAAAAATCTAAGAACTAAATAACAAGAAAATATGAAAGTATAATAAAGAAAACTTGTGTCAAGCAATGACAGACTATACCTACATTGCCACCTAATTTAGCAGTCTTCAAAATAACCACATGAATCCAAAGGCAATTTGTCTGTTGAACAGGACCAGTTTTCACCTGTCTTGAGTTGGCAGAGAAACAAATGGGAAGACAACCTACATTTTGGAAGTCAACTGATCAGCACTTGGCCCTGACCAAAACCTCTCAAATTACAAAAAAGTCCACAAAGGTGAAACAGACTCACAGAAGGCTACCTATAGGGCCTTACAGAAAATAACAAGAAACTCAAGGTGAATAATCCAACATTTCCCAAGGAAGGAAGGGGGGGAATGTTATACTTCTCAGATATTTCACTGTGGTTCAGAAAGTCTGCATCCTGTTACTTGTTTACCAGCATACTTTGAAGACTGTCATTCCTCAACAGCTGCACAATTTCTTGGGCCTGAATGTAGCCAAAGTAGTGCCATTTTATGTCCATAGACACCATTTAGCTTAAATGAAGTCACATTCTGTATTGTGTCTTTTATTAGCGCTCTCACATACATAAAAAGATGTGAATTTAGATAGATCTTTAATCATTCTAGCTGAAATACTGCAAACAAAAGGTAGAAAGACTTAAGTGACACTATGGCAAAAAACACAAGGCATCACAAACGAATTTCCTCAAAGTTAAAAAACAGAGAGAAACCAGTTTCATTTGTTGTTTCAACCAGAAGGATATATTTAAATAGAGCCAAACAGATGTAGATTAACGTAATTCAATGCAATTAACAAAGCATTAAAAAAAATGAGAATTGAAGAACAAAGAACCGCCAGATAAATTGCAGGAATACCCCTCACCTTGCAACTGGAAGCATGGCCAGTAAAGTCATGAACAGCAAGCAAATCCACCTATATTATGCTGCTACACCAATTTGTCAGATTAAATAAACCAAAGTACCCCATATGACTGAAAGGATCTACAGCATTACTTGTCATTACCACCCGATGACCTAAAACTGCTGCCATAACGTAAAGTGGGATTGAGCTAACACAGTAAGCATTCAATATACAGTGAAATGGGGCTTAAACCAACATCGGCTTCTCCCAGGAGGCAGCCAAACGATTTGTTAGCACTGCCCCCCTTTGTGGCAAAGCCCTCCTGCCCCATAAGCACAAATGAAAGCTCTGATCCATGATCTCTTTCCTCATCCACGCAACATAGCCTTCTGTTCAACTTACACTGAGGGAATAAGCAAACCTGAGTTTGTTTTGCCAACATTAAAAAAATGTCCAAGCAATCAATTCCAGATTTATTAATTTTGTTGTTTTAACAACAGACAGCTCATTTTTAGTCTTAGAGAAGAGAGAGAACAGTAAGCTTGTGTCCGTTTGTAATACGCAAAGCAAGTATAAAACTGGTTTTTGAATCTGAACCTATCATTCATCAAGCTATTGGATTTATTTAATTTACCACCCAAAAGAAAGGGCAGAGTTGAATTACGCACTATAATTTTAAACAAATGCATTTAAAGCAAACCAGGAGATTAATAAAAAGCTCTCCATTTACCAGTGACACCAGTAAAAGGAATATCAAGAGAAGTCAGCTAACATTATGCTATAAGCAAAAAAAAGCTTGCTTTCCACAAGAGGTTCTGCAGTCAGAACAGCAAGCAATGGCACACCTCAAGAATACACAATCACATATTCACTGACAGCACCCAAGACAGGAAGACAGACAGGACAGGAAGATAAAACACGTGGCATAGCAATCAGATTAAACAAATTTTTTCCCTGCTTTAGCATTTAAGGAAATAAACACCAAACAACATATTCCAAGTCACAATGAAGACTTACTTCAGCTGTACCATCCAAGATATTGTTAATAAACTGAACCATGTCTTCTGTGTTCTCAATGTGCCTATCTGGTAGAAAATACTGCTGATTGGAGGTATTCAATACAACAATAGTAGGGATTGTCAAGTCACTGGAAATATAAAACAGATAGTTTATACATTTAAAGAACTACTGTGTAAAACACTGCAATTCAAATAATTCCTACATAATTTAAAAGGGTATCCATTAATCTTCACTTTGCGTGTGTTCCTTATAGCAGTTCCTTAAAGGCAAGAGGGAAGGGGGAAGAGAATCACCTGAATGGTACGAGCATGTTTCTCATTAACATTTTTTCCTTCACATCTGTGTCAGCAACACTATTGAAGCTGATTGCATTTTACATACCCATAGTGACTGCAAATCAGGTACCTTATGACTTGCCAGTTAGTAAGAGATCACAGATAGTAGCCTTGTATATGAAATGTGCTATTAGCACAAGTCATTAAGTGTTTTAGTGCACAAAGGCAAAAGTATAATCCAAAAGTTCAATCCCATACAGCCATGGTCCAACTGATCAGCTCTATCCGTCAACCTCTACCTGTCAAGTCAAAAGAATAAACCATACCAACCAAAGTTTTTCTACCAACCAGAGTTTTTCTACATCTCTTTTAGATATGGCAGATGAGTTACTAAGTTTTTAAACAGTCATTGCTCAGCAGTTGACCTTCACGTGCATAAGCATTGTTTAGTATAACAGAATCAGAAAGAAAGGAAAAAAAAAAAGAAAAAAGGTTAGAAATTAACTCTGGAAATAAACCAGTATAATCTACTGTTCAAAGTAGCCCTAAATCCAAAATTAGATCAGGTTTACGAAAATTTAATACTGCACACGTACACAGAATCATAGACTCATTAAGGTTGGAAAATTCCTCTAAGATCATCGAGTCCAACTGTTGACCCAACACCACCATGCCCACTAAACCATGTCCCTAAGTGCCTCATCTACACGTCTTTTAAATACTTCCAGGGATGGGGACTTCACCACTTCCCTGGGCAGCCTGTTCCAATGTTTAACCACTCTGTCAGTAAAGACATTTTTCCTCATGTCCAATCTAAACCTCCCCTGGTGCAACTTGAGGCCATTTCCTCTCGTCCTATTGCTTGTTACTTGGGAGAAGAGACCAACACCCACCTCGCTACAACCTCCTTTCAGGTAGTTGTAGAGTGCGGTAAGGTCTCCCCTCAGCCTCCTTTTCTCCAGGCTAAACAACCCCAGATTGTTCAACAAGAAAGATTTAAAATACATTAAATAAGTAAGGTGAAAAATCTCCTGTACTGCCAGTTTTCTACAGTTCTGTCAATAATGAATTTAAATACTAGGTGGCTTTCCTTCACAGCAGAAGCAATGCAAACCTTGTTTTTCTACATTTTCACTCTTGTCTAATACTGCCCCACCCATGTACATTTGCAATCCACGTAATATTGATGATGATTTCAGCCTTAACTGTGGCTATCAATTATTTCATGAAACTATTGTTTAGCATTTACTCAAGATTCCCATTTTTCTTTGAAGTCATAGAAATTATTCTAAATTTTCCTCACACATTTTAGGTGTTTTGTTTCTTTGAATTTAAATTCAATTCCAAACCTAGAAGTGAACAAGTTTAATATTTATACATGAAAATTTTCTAAACTCCTAGAAAGCCAAATACTTCAAGATTTAAGGTGCAGACCACATTCCCAGTACTCAAGTTGAAAGCATGGTGGCACCTCAGAAAATGTAAGGCCAACTACAGAGATAACAAAATAATTTCATCCTTTCAAAGGAACTTTAAAAAAAAACCAAACAAACAAACAACAAAGCTTTGCCAACAGTGACAACCTGCAACATAAGATTCTCTAAATACAATTTTTCCCTTGACATTTTTATTCTCTATTTATTAGGAACAAACAAGAAATATAAGTAGGAGGCAATCAAACCAAGTCAGGTGTTTTTGCAAGTGCCTGGTAACAAGTTATCAAACTCTGCCAAAACACCTCACCCCAGCCAAAACAGAACATGTTTTATTACTTGGATGCAGAAAAGATCCGCCCCCCCCCCCCCCCATTTTTCGAAAAAAAAAAAGGTGCTTCTATTGCATTTAACAGTCTGGCAACTGAGTTTCTTGGAGTTGGTTGTAGAGCAGCTGAAAGAAAAACTTCATATACAAATTTTATATGCTATAAACAGATTTATAAAAACACGTTTAATATGTTTCTTCCAAGAGCTGAGGAATTAATACTCTACATACACCTACAGTTGACATTCCAATAATGCTATATACCTTAGCTTACACAAAGACGTATCTTTGCTTTCAGTTTTCTTCTTTTGTGCATAGTTTTAACTACACCGTTTTTAATCCAACAAAAGCATATTCATCCACTGCAGAAGAGACAGATAAATTATAATGTCTACTAATGGAGTTAAGCCAAGTTCATAAGTGTACTTCTATCAGGGACTACTACTTCTATCCCCACGAATCATACAATATTTTGTCCTTTGTGAAGAAACAGAATTTGTTCCTATGTGCATCTAGCACACTAAAAAAAAGTATTCTGCAATAGATTTCTCACAATTAGGGAGAATTTCTCTATTTCCACTTACTGCCATCTAGTGGAAAACTGAAGCACTTGCAATACAGTTTTACTCGAATTACTCAAGTAGCCACATGAAGAGCAGGTACTTATAACACTGAATATATTTTGCTGCATTCTTTTGCTGCTTTCCATTTATGCTGGAAATGTATACACTCTGTTTAGAAAATAACTAAAAGCCTGTGAGTACTTTAACAGCAATGTCCCATACACTACAAATTATAAAATCAGGCATTTTGCAGATTAAGTTAAACAATCCAGCTGAACAGATCTTGCCACTACACCACTACTGCTGTAAGTGGCAGTTCTGTCGGCATTCTTTTGCTGCTTTCCATTTATGCTGGAAATGTATACACTCTGTTTAGAAAATAACTAAAAGCCTGTGAGTACTTTAACAGCAATGTCCCATACACTACAAATTATAAAATCAGGCATTTTGCAGATTAAGTTAAACAATCCAGCTGAACAGATCTTGCCACTACACCACTACTGCTGTAAGTGACAGTTCTGTCTTCTTCCCCTTCATTTTCTTCCTCCCACAGACCTCATCTCCCTCCCCTGCTTCTTTGCACATCAGTTCTGGTACTGAGCAGAATACACGGGAAGACGTTTAAGGGTTTTGTTCGATCAGCAAAGTAACTCCCCTATTCGCCTAGCCAAAAAAGCAAATACTTCTCTGCCAGATAAACAGGACAAAACAGCTCAGCAGACAGTCAGACATAAAAGCCTGCACAGGAGAAGCAATTAATGAAGTGAGGAAGGTCTCACTTTTGGCAACTATAAAGCACTAGATCAATCACATTACTTAACTTCAATTGAGACACAGCTGTTTTTAAATTAATTGTATTCAGGTGTTAATCTACAGACATTCCACAGAAATACAGGCTTTGTGCCTCATGAATCCCCATGAAGCTCCTAGAACCTTTAGGGGCAGAAACACATGCTTTGATCCCCAAGAAAAGGGTTTGGAAAACTTACAGAGCTGTTGTATTGACCCCTGTTTTTCCCTTCTTTCACTCAAAATGCCAGAGGAGAACAAGTAGTCAACTGTAAATGCCAAGCAACTTAACTCTCTAATTACTGCATTTTTAGACAAGGATCATAATAAGGCAAATGTCATGCATCTTGTTAAGCTACTTATATATTTCAAAATGTACCATGTACATATCAAGTGCAGACAGCATCTTCCATGCATTTTATGCTTCTTCTCTGCAGAAGCGTATTTCTATGCATGTCTTAAAAATGCTTCAAGAATGAAATGTGCCTCTCCAGAAATAAAAAAAATAGATAATGCATAAACATTATTTACATTTCCTGTTACAAATTGACATAACTTTTAATTTGTCTAGTGCCCTGTAAATTTAACAAAGGAAAAAAAAAAACACCACAGTTCTAATAGAGTAATTAATTTAACAAAGTACACATAAAAGATAAGCTTTGTCAATCAGCATTATCAGTAAACCAAACTTCTAACATTAAATTATGCAGTTTCATTTAATGAACAACTGATACTATGCTACATGCTGAATTCTGAGGACAGCAATTTTTTTTTTTAACCCATGAAAGGCAGGAGCTCTTCATAAGATTGTTTTCAATTAAATACACTTAGCAACAAATACAAGAGAAGAAAGAATATTCAAATAAAAATTTACTTACTCCATTAGTAAACTGTTAATGTAATCATTTCCATCCATATGGCCAAACTGGAAATCCCTGTAAAAGAAGCAGTGAACAACAGAATGATGAAAAAGAAAACAGAATAGTGGGTTTCAGCAAAAAGTTCCTCCTTAAATATTTTTCCTATAACTGAAGATGAGATCACACACTCAGCAATATAATTTGAAAATTGACTTCCTACAAGACGGTCAGCATCCCAAAACACACTTAGTTAATGGAATGGTCTTATTAAAAATCAGTATATGAATATAAAAGCAGGCACTATAACATTTTTCATGTAGAAATGACTGCTGTCTTAGAAAGGTTAATGCAGAAGCTCATTTAAGATATCATTGTACCGTGTCCCTACCTGTGAAAGTGATCCCGATAATCTCTAGCAACTTCCTGAATAATAGATTTTAGTCTGGAGGGAAAAAAAGTGACATTGATAATTCAGGATATACTCTGTCAAAATACAAACAATAACCATTGAGATTTCCCCAGTAAGCAGCAAATAGTACCTCATCAGCAATAAGGATTCCCTATTCCATTAACAAAAAACACCTCGTTCATCTTGCTTGGTTTCTAAGGTTTGAAAGGTTATCTACCACATAGTCTCAACACGAGAAAAACACAGTCAGGCTGCTTCACTCCATCTACTGCCTTCTGAAGATGCAGCAATGTGACTCTAAAGAAAATCCAAAGAAAATAGCATACACAGTACTTGAACAATATTTTCTTAGTCTAATTATGTATGCAATCAGAAAAGGACAGCAGAAGGTCTTGTTCCTCTCTTCAGCAAACTCCAACCCAACTGAAAACACCCCTTCTTAATATAAGTTCCACAGACAACTAATATATAAGCATCACTAAATTCATTTTTAATGCAACTGAGCTGAAGAACAGTCATTTGAGATGAACTTAGTAAGTTTAAACAAAGTCATCTGAACTCAAGTACTCTCGTCTATGTTTAAAAGGTGACACAATAGCTTTAAAAAGCTATGCGATCACTGTTTGCTCCTGTGATCTCATTAACAAATGGCAGAAGAGTGATGCAGGAACTCCCATAATCTCATTGAACTCACATGTGCTTCAACAGAGCCATAAATTAAGTAAATTCAGTAGGCTGAAGTCATAAATTAGAGAACATCCACAAGTTAGCATTTCTTAATATTTAAGAAACTTTTCAAAAGTTCTCTATGTCATACCAGCACATTTCTCCCATAGTGTCACCAATACTCAATTCTGTACCTGGTATGTTCCACTGAAGAGTTTTTATCATCAATGACTGCAATAGCCACAAGTTTTCCTAAAATAAGGAATAAAATACTTGAAACCATTTAAAAAGAAACACACGTTCTCAGATGGAAAATACTCCAACCTAGAAGATCAGATACTTTCCAGGGACAGGAATTAGTTTTAAGTATAAACTAATGTCGATGCCAAATAGCCTCTTCTAGCTGATCAAATTGTGGTTTTCTTAAAGCTACTGAAAATAAATTAAGATGTGGCTTAATGCCACACCACTAGATTTCTATGAAATGCCTACACCTATAGAAAGAAGTTAAAAGAGGAAAAACGCAGATAAAAATTAATTCCCTACTCAAGCTGCATAGTTGCATATACCTAAATATGAGGCTATGGAAACCTTTATTATATAATGGCAATTACAAGCTGATTCTAACTGATTGAATCACAATTGTATGGATTCAGTAACGACTATTTTTCACACTATTGAAAATTTGGAGTATTATCCTTACAGAAAAACACATGGAAAAATTTACTGGCAGAGCCCAGAATTCATTACATCAGAAAAACACAGACCTCTGTCAGAGGAGTTTGAAGACCAAACACCAGAATATACTGATCTTTTCAGGATTCACTTTGTGAAGTTTTTCTGATTAAAAGAAAAAAAAAAGCGCCTCCTAAGGTGAACCAGATCAAAATATGTTTAGAAAGTTGGCCAAAGGTACTCCAGATCAAGGACTTCCTGTTCGGAAAGCGGATCTGTTAACAGTGTAGTCATCAGCTGGATTAACCAAAGCCTCAGAGTGCAGAAGAACAGTTTGTTAAGTCTCTCTAGAGGCCATGACTCATTCAAACCCCTCCCTCCCAAACCAATCTATTGCTCAACGCTCACCTATCTCTATGCCACAGGAAGCATTCCCCGCAAAAAAAGAAACTCACTCTTGTTCATGTAATACTGAAGAGTTTTGAGGACAAGAACAATGATTCATTCCCAGGCTTTCTTGTGAAACAGCAATAGCTTTCCCCCACCCCACTTCTTCCATACCTCAGTTCTCACTTTTTCCCATTTCTTTCCACACCTTAAGACACTACCTAGTGAATACACTAAAAGACAACTACTTTTTAGACTGGAAAAGAAGACGTAGATAAATTCCAGGTACTGTGTATTTATACATAAAGCTCTTTATTAATACAATGGAGAAGCCATCATTTATTTTTAAGTCGTAATTTTTTTTTTTTGATAATTTGAGGAATTGTTAGACCAAAATGTAACAAGGAAGAAATATGCTACATTTAAACAATTTGTAACAGCATTTCTGTAAATAACCTTTTAAAATGTAGATGTAACAATATTAGTTTCACAAACATGTAAGAACCTAGACATTTCATAATCTTTAAAGCCTGAAAGAACTCAATGTTGCATTGAATATAAACTCCTTTCTTTTGAAATGGAATGTAGATTATAAGGCATCCTGGCATGGAAAAATCAACACTTTCAGCATTTCTTCTGCTACTTCAGAGTATTTATACCTTAAGAGCAGTACAAGTCATTTGCCTATTCCAGAAGTCACTTGGTTGCAAAGTTGTTATTTGGCTTGCAAAAAATTTTAGTAGAGAAAAGCTAAAGTATTCCAGGACAGGTCCACTTTGGTACATGCTCTCCTCCCTTCCTTACCATACCTACTTTAAAGATATCTGAATCCATTAGATTTAGGACATATCTAAATCCATCCATATTTGATACATCTAAATCCAGTCATAAAATTCCCTGTAGGTATCCCAAGAGTTAATATGTAATTCATGCAAAACCTAAGCCACTCTTAAATTAAAAGTACTACTAATTTTTTGTGAATACTACAGGATTAGACATACTAATTTTTATGTTGAGGAAAGGAGTAGTGTAGGCTTTGGATGAAGCCTCTAGTCAATAGAACAGGTCTCACCAACACCAAAAAAAGATTGGCGCTATCAACTCTAACTTTGAGATTAATTAATTTTCGAAGTTCAAAAAACACATTCTTAGTGCTCTTTAATTTTTCTTAGTGTTAAGTACAAGAGATGCCAAAGAGTTTAGTGGTAGCAGCATCTCACCTGTATCTCCAAGTTCATACAGCGTAAAGCCATCTACGTTAAGATAACCTTGAAATCTTTCTCTATTTATCCAGGATGACAAATCACCATCTTCATACTCTAAGAGGAAAAAAAGAAAAAAAAAAAAGGAATGCATTAAAAAGATTTTTTTTTTTTTTTTTTTTTTTTTTTAAGGGGGGCAATCAGTTTTTTTTTTCAGTACTATAGAGGCAAACACTATTTTTTCCTCTTTTTTCCTTTTATTGTTGTTAGACAAGATCTCTCACATTTCTGGACATTTCAGTTTTAAAACTTGTAAAGCTATTTTCAATTGTTGAACATAGCAAAGCATGAAAAGCTGATTTGATTATTTTTTCCCAAATCAAGGATAAACAATACTATTCTAGAAGATAACTGTGACCCAATGCAGAAAGGAACAGTTTCAACCCCTGTTTTTAAAGGGGGTGTGTGTGTGTGAAGTTTCAAACAAAGTAAAGAGATACAAAAATACAGAAAGCAGTATTTGTGAGAGTCTTTAAATGAAATAGAAAGAAATCAAGAAAAAGTAGATGCATTAACAGCATTGTGAATGTAAATGAACAAATATTTACATATGATTCAGAATCAGTTATACTGAAGGCTACGGTTTCAGATGCTAGACATTTTAAACCCGTAAAAAATCAAATTCTAACACATACCACCAACACCATTATAATTAGAGCTTAATCACAAGTAAGAAAGAAAAATGTATATAAACATATATATGATGCAAATATATATACTCACACATATAAATGCACATTAAATAAATTAATTTGTGTTAAATCCTATTGTATAGAGTGAATTATCAATAACTTCAGGTTACCAATTAATTGCCCTAAGTTTGTAGCAAGCAATTCCAAGCATGAAGCTTCCCATAGATCTGCATCCCATTCCCCTACTACGAGGAAGAAAAACAAAACACCAGACAGGGATTTTGCTAAACCTTTTTCTTATAGCGAGCTCTTCAAATTTCTGCCCAATCATAACAGTTGCACATATAACCTTATCCAGTCTCTTATACCATGTCTTCATAACTTGTTTGATTTACAATAATGTTTCTAGTACATTATAAAAGAGTAAAATTTTTACAAAGTAAATTTTAAACCTGGATTATTACAAGTTTTGTGTTTGTTTTGAAAGGTGTGGAAAAAGCAAGCGGGCCACACAGCAAAAAGCAATTCAGAAGTGTTGCTCTTTGACAAGCTTTCCTTCTCCAGACCCGTTAAAAAAAAAAATAATCAACTGCAAAACAAGGAGGCTATAGAGTCAATTTTTATCTGGAGGACGATTGGTAAGGCAACAGACTGAAGAGGAAGACAAGTACAGCCATTCTATGAAATCACAAAGAATATCCTTGACAGCCCATCTGGAGTATTTTGCTGTGGTACTACTGATCCTCAGAAATTAAAACAGCAGAATAATCTTCTGAGTCATATGTTTTCAATTTAAAATAAAAACTTGCATTTAAAACAATCTAAATCAAGAGTAGATGTTTTTGTAAATAAGTGGTGTACTATAAGCCAACCCATGATATACAATATAAGTACGCATGTGTACGTGCACCTAACAGACTATAAAGCACAGGCTTTACAGTATAGTCTGAGTATAATCTAGCACTTATAAATGGATATCCATACATATGGATATACACTTTTTATATAAATGGCAGGTGTACTGCTGTCAGTGGTGTTATGAAACACTACTAGTCTCAGGTGGCCATTCTACAATCTACACGCTGAACAACCCAGTTAAAGCAGTTTATCCAGCTGAAAACTGCGTATCAACTGCTCCAGTGACAACAGTCCACATCTCCGTAACCTCTTTTTGTGAGGGACACTTTCAGGAAGGGAAAAACAGACTGAATGGTCAACCATTCTATGTATGCATAGTACACTCCGTCAGTTATACAGGGAGAGGTTATGCTGTCTGATCCTTTCCTACTACCAATATCCAAGTAACACAAATGTGAAAGTTACATATGCTCAAAGCTATCAGTTAAGGCCCTCCAAATTTTAATATTGGGAATAAAGGCAGAATCAGTTTCCTCTTCCTTCACAGTTGTTGAAGGAAGACTTGCTGTACTAAGAAAGTATTGTATTGCCAAGACACAAAAAGCTCAAACTGGACTCTTTTGTGCGATCTCTCAGCAGAGTACACATTTGAAAAAAATCAAGTTAACTTCGAGAGAGAGATCTGACTGTCAGGAAGAGCACTCAGAGAAAATCTGATTAACTGTTTGGAACTGTAAATTCATCTTACGCGTGACTCCTCTTCAGCAAGAGTTTTCTTCTATTTTGTATATGAAGAATTTGGACAGTGAGTGAAGGGATAACTTTCATAAGTGCATTAATGCCAGCAAAGCAATAACATTAGAAGCTGCATCTTACTGCTAACGCAAAGCAAATGACGTCTACTTCAGTATTGCTAAAACCAATTCCTTCTCAAATGCATTTTGTTCCATAAGAACTAATTAGTCTTTTCTCTTTTCCTTCATGAAGGAGCTGTTATTTATCATAAAATTGGGGAATTTCCCAACACCAACACAACCTTCAAAAAAATCCCAACTGTTCCAGTTTCTCCATATATACTTTAAATATCTTGTCTTAAGGTAATGTCCACTTTTACTTACCATCATAAACAAAGTAAGTTCCATCTTTGAAGACCACAACAGCAGGCAATTCAGGCAATGTCACATACTGAAAGAGGTTGTTTTCAATTAATCCATGGAAGATTAAAAGATTTTTAAACAAACAAACAATCTTAAAATGAGGAAATGTAGTCCATGGGGAAAATATCAAGTACATTTAAATGTTTTCTGTCTACATTTACTAAAATAAATTTATCAGCTTCTGCATATTAAAAAGTAACACAACATAAACACATTTTTGAGAGGTAGGTCTCACAAAGTGTAAATGAAGCAGGATTTTTACTAGTATCTGCAGTAGCATGAAGAATATTGGTTGGACCTGAACTTTAGATAGGCGATCATAACTTGAAGGTTTTATCAGTCATGCTCTCTGTTCCCAGTTCGTGCTGTTGTCAGCATACCTGTCATACCATTACTTCTACTAAATGGACAGTCAATATCATAGAGCAAAATAATAACATTGATAACACGTCTCACTAAATCTGGGCTACTTCCTGTGGTTCAGGCTGATAGGAATACAAAGACATAGCTCCAGCAGCCAAAGCTACAAATAGCCCTATTTAGGCAAACAGAACAATGAATGCCTGCATTATCATTCTAAACATGATATTTAGGATGGTCAGCAACATACTCAAAAAAAATACACGGTGTAGAAACCTTTTCCGTGGAACTTAAAAGAATCTTATTCAGCTCATGTTTTCAGTAAACTGCCACAGAAGAAATACTGCATCTACTCCGTACTGCTTGCTACCACTCTAAGTTAGAATTCTAATAGCATTTGTGGTTAAGAAAGGACTGTATCATGAGCTTAGTTTTGATGATGATGTTGGCTGAATTGTCTAATTTACCGGTATGTTTGGGAAACGTAAGAACAGTATCATGAGTGCTTTTCCAGATGACATGCCTTCTACAATCATTCTGCATTATCTTTCTTGGAAATAAATGTTAAAGCAGTAGGTTTATAATGTAACAGCTCACATGAATGAGCAAGAAGGTGGTAATTCTAGACGATGCTTTATTCTCTTATTTGCCCAAAACATAGTTTAGCATCTTTAAAGGGCAAATCAGTCTATGTACAGCTTATGGCTTGCAAAAGATGCCTGAAGCTTGGAACAAGATTACATAAGGTGACAAAACAAAGCCTAACAGTGAATATTGTCATGCAAAGCCTTGTTACAACTAGCGACCACTGATTTCATAACATTTTTGCTTCTCTCCATACAATATTGCATACCATCACTACTTCAGTTTAAATGACATTTGTGGGAAATTACATTCGGTGGGAAAAACAGCTCGCTGCTTATATCACTGTGATCACAGAATCTCAAAGAGTTCCAGCCTTTTACACTCTTTCCACTGCATGAGCGAACAGTACTTTTCTTGCTCAGCTGGGACTGAAGTGCAAATAGCAATATTCAAATTGAGGTAGATTTTGATACAAGGCTTCTGGAAATCTAACAATGCACTGTTTATAATGAGGCCTGTTCTATTTATGATGTTGGAAAATGCAGGTGCCTAAAAAAAAAAATATAACTTATACTAGTTCTCACCCTGCTAATCCCAAACTAATTTCAAAGTCATGCGTTATCAGGCATGGAGTAGACTTAGTTCCCACTTGGAGATAACAATAAATGAAAAAGTCTCTTGATTTTGCTTCAACACATAAGCAACAATGGTTAGACTAACAACAGTAGTAACAATTTTTTCCACCCTTGTGACTAACTGTAAATAATTTCCTTGTTACGGAATCCTCCAGAGCCACATGAGAATTCTGCAGCCAATAGACTGGATCCCTGGGCAGACTAATGTTTTGATCAGCCGTACTGCACAAGGTGAAAAATAACTCACCTTTTCACTTACTTTTCTGATTATTAGGGTACCAATCGTACTCCATGCCGTAGACCCCCAAACTAGTTATAAAAGTGGTTGGTGAAAGGGCTGTCAGGAGCAACAAGAGCTTTGCATTGGCTAAAAATCAAAGTATCTACCTTCTTGAGGAGGTTGTATAGTCCACATTGAGTTCTGCATATCTACTGTTTAATTTTGTTAATATGAGTGAACAAGTAATTTGGCCAATACAAAGCAATGACAGACTGAAACTTGGTTTGTATTCTTTCCCCATATAGACTCAAAATTTAAATGTTTCAGTGTAATTAGTTTTCAGTGTAATTAGTTTGAAATCCACCAAAGCCAAATACATTATAAGAAGTCATCTCTGTGTCATCAAAACAGCAAAATTACATATATGAGATGAACTATACCATTTCTGTGGAAGTAGTAGGAACCAAAACAGTTTACCTCAGGCAGCACATCTTCTGAGGCAGAAAAAAAGTATGTATAAACTATTAGTTCTGAAGCAACTTCAATGTATTTTTCCTGCAAAAATACAAACAATGTTTTTTATTTCTGAACTATTAGTATGCTTCAAACGAAAGGTTTGTGACATAACTTATCTTCAAAGAGTAATTAGAAAATATGGTTATGACAAGATTGTAAAAACACTTCAATAAAAGTAAAAAAGGATGAGAATATTACAATCATGCACTTCAGTCTTTTAGAAGATATTTTAAAATACATCTGTGAATAGCCAAAAGAAGTAACTTTATTTAATCAAGCTTCAAACCTTTAAAGGAGATTCCCCACCAACATACACAAAAAGTACACGATGTCTTTTTTGCACGTGCTCGAACATATGGTGGCTAGGAAGTGGCCTGATAAGAGGTCTGGGAGGAGGGAAAAAAGAGAAAGAAAAAAATCTCAGTTTCTGCAAGCTGCAAAACCCAAATAAATAAAAAACCCCAAGAAAATGCCATAAAGTTTTTTGTGTTGTTTTTTTAAAAAACTGAATTCCCCAATGCAAATTCATTTAATTTTTCAATTTACTATTTCAGTTTCAACTAAAAGCAAAAAACCTAAAAATCCCCCCAAAATAAACTCATGTTCCTCAAATAGCACACTTAAATTTGAAATTAATATCTTAGTACAAAATGCTGCTATGATGTAAACAAGCATGCCATTTACTGGCCACAGAATCATAGACTGGATTGGGTTGGAAGGGGCCTTAAAGATCATCTAGTCCAACCCACCTGCCATGAGCAGGGACATCTTTCACTAGACCAGGTTGCTCAAAGCCCCATCCAACCTGACCTTGAACACTTCCAGGGATGGGGTGCCCACAGATTCTCTGGGCAACCTGTTTCAGTGTCTTACCACCCTTATAGCAAAAAATGTCCTCCTTACGTCCAATCTGAATCTACCCTCTTTCAGTTTAAAACCATTGCCCCTTACCCTGTCAGTGCAGGCCCTGATAAAAAGTCTCTCTCCAATCTTTCTTCTAAGCCCTCTTTACACAGTGAAATACCACAATAAGGTCTTCCCAGCCACAATAACGTGGCTTAGACAGGTGTACTCTGTGCTGCGTAAAAAAAACTGGCTGGACAGCCGGGCCCAGAGAGTTGTAGTGAATGGAGTTACATCCAGTTGGCGGCCGGTCACGAGCGGTGTTCCCCAGGGCTCAGTTTTGGGGCCGGTCTTGTTCAATATCTTTATCAATGATCTGGATGAGGGGATCGAGTGCACCCTCAGTAAGTTTGCAGACGACACCAAGTTGGGCAGGAGTGTTGATCTGCTCGAGGGTAGGAAGGCTCTGCAGAGGGACCTGGACAGGCTGGATCAATGGGCCAAGGCCAATTGTATGAGGTTCAACAAGGCCAAGTGCCGGGTCCTGCACTTCGGCCACAACAACCCCATGCAGCGCTACAGGCTTGGGGAAGAGTGGCTAGAAAGCTGCC